GGTGGGTGGGCCAGAACATGCCATCCCACGCTTTGAAGCTTCTTCTGGGCCTCCTTCGAAAAGTGTGGGCGAGCACTGTCTTGGAGAAAATAGACTTTCCCGAGTTTCTCTCCTAGAGCTGCAGCAATCCGGTCCACATAGCACACTGGGCTTCAGTGCTGACAGCGGAGTTTGGTGGTAGAAAGTCCCAGTGAAAGATCCTTTTGAATGGCTTCAAACGCTCGGCAATGCCTTCTGAGGTAGGAATTCTGGATTGGAGGTCGGGATTCCATGCTCTACGCATCCAAGCCATTAGCGCTTCCTCGTGTGGTTTGAGTAGGGAACACACTTCTCGTCGCCAGTTATTTAGGTCTTCCAGCCATGCGAAGGTGCGTCGGAGAGTCATCAAGTTTAGGCATGAATCCCTCTTCATTTGGAGGTCGTGACCATCCAGATCAAAACTTATCCATATCTCCGAATATCCATGTCTTTCCAACGCGATGCAAATGGACAGCTTTGTGTCGTGACGGCTATGAATTCCTGTTTCAGCTGATGGATACTAAACTTGGAATCTTCTTCAACCAGCTTCAGGAGATAGTCGTCATTGAGCTCAGCTAGCCTCCTAGATCGTGGTTCTTCGGTCCAGTCAAAGTGGCCATTTTTGAACTTCTTGTACCAACTTCTTGATGTGCTATTAAAGACAATGAATGGTCCTATCGCATCGCATATTCCCCTGTCGCTCAATTTGGATTAACGTTTTTTTCTGAACTTATAAAGCAAAGGCAGTTTGACCCGCTTTGGGTCGAGAGCGATTCTTGCAGCCATAACCGTTGCGAAATGCTACGGTAGATATGGTGTGGAAAGCGCATTGACCTGCACTTACACATGTTCCGCGGTGGAGGTTCTAGAGCAATCCCCAAAGATTTCACAACATGGAAACCAAAATGCGCAAATACTTTTCCGACAACCTAATATTTCTAAACCATCGACCGGATTTCCTCTCCGCTGAGGATTTTTATAAATTTTTATGAGTTTTCTAGGAACCAACCCGCACTGCTTCACCTCCAACTCAAGAAAACATTATCGGTTCACAGGAATTCATTCCTAAGAACTAAGGTCTGTTAAGTGATCCACTCATTCTTTCTTTCCTTTCTGATTTCTTGAAGGTCTCTTATCAACTAATCCTATTTGTGTTAATCGCATTCGGTACTTTTTTCCTATCCCTAACTTTCCGATAACATTTGACATCTTTTTTACAGCTTCCCTAACTTTTGCTTCACATTTATGTATGTCGCCTATACTTCCTTGCAAGATGGGGCTTTTATACAGACAGCTGCAAAAAATAAGTACCACTAAGCAAATAGTACTTCACAATCAATGGAAAGTAGAAATGTTCAAAGGTTTCCTGGGTTCTTTTTGCCTCCATCATTTTTAACTATTTTCTCTTTTGCCAACAATCGCTAATGCCCTGAAGATCTCCTGTAGCCTTGGAAAATAAAAAAAAATTGAATTTATTAAAAAAAAGGTCTAATCCCGCAGAACACACCACAGTGGTATAAATGCCTGTTTCTGGACACCACTTACCCATTTCACCATTCAAATTGGCACATAACGATTTCGGTATTGGCAATGAAAAGGTTGGCGGTATAGCCCTGCTGAAGCTTTCTCTTCAGGTTGACGGAAACTTCATCATGAGATGGTAGGATTGTGCCGTCAAGTTATTGCAGACGTACGGGACATATCGGTGTATTGGTAACTGTGCAGAAAATAACTGATCACCGAGTGCATACTTTTAGAATTTTCAATCGTTCTAACCCACACATCTTATTCATCCAACTTTCCGAAAATGCTTTTAGGAGTGACTCATTTGAAAAGCCTATAGATCTAAAACAATGCGCAGAATGAGCCTTAGTTGCTTGTAACGTAATTTCTACGTACCTCACCATACAAGAACAAAGTCTGAGTAGGTTCGCTACTAATTGGGTACCTACACTCTGGCAGTGCCCCCGGAGAGCAAACTTAAAGGTATTTGTCGATAGCTGATGATGGCTCTCCGGATCCTCAGCCCTGATCTCATCAAAATCAGCGCTAAAGAACTGAATATTCAGGGGCTCTAGGATCTTCCCCGATGTTACTGCGTTTTTGAGAAGAAAAATCAAGGAAAGAGGAACCGTTCTGTCTTATTTAGTAGATGATTGACATGGCTGTCAAGATCAGAGTCGAGTTCGAAGACGCCCACTACACTACCCTTCAGAATGCACTGACTTCTTTCCGGAGGAAAGTTGAAGAGATCTTAGGATGTTCAATTCATTGCAAATATTCTTCTGAGCTTCGTTAGAATATGTTGCAGTTCTATCTTTCAGACTTCTTCCTTTAGTATGGCAAGGGCGAGAACGAAACCATGGGAAAGTGAGGCATATTTCGGTTAACTTGTGGTTCGGCTTCCTACATAGTACCGTCAAAAAATGTTTGTTGAACCACTCTTACCCCTCGCACATGTGGTCCATAACGGAATCTTCCGTTAGGTTCGAGCGAAAATCGGAATCCCGCCCCTCGATCGGTGTCACGTTAGACGAGTGTCGAGACAATACA